CACACGTGCTGCAGTATTCTTTTTGGACAGCAATGGCTTCCTCCGTGGTGTCCTGCCATGTACTCCATTCTTGTTTAATGTTTTCCTTATTGTAGATGTGTCAACAAAAATGTTAGCATGTGCCAGAGATTTCTGTAGGTCTTTAGCTGACACTCTGGGATTCTTCTTTACCTCATGCAGCATTCTGCGCTGTGCTCTTGCAGTCATTTTTACAGGACCACCACGCCTAGGGAGAGTAGCAACAGTGCTAAACTTTCTCCATTTGTAGACAGTCTGTCTTATCGTGGACACAGGAACATCAAGGCTTTTGGAGATACTTTTGTAACCCTTTCCAGCTTCATGCAAGTCAACAATTCTTGATGGTAGGTCTTCTGAGAGCTCTTTTCTGCGAGGCATGGTTCACATCAGACAGTGCTTCTTGAAACCAGTAAAACCCAAAACAGGTGTGTGTTTTTTAAGGGCAGGACAGCTGTCAGCAACACATCCAATATCATCACACTGATTGGAGTCACGGTTGGCTCACTCCTGGCTCCAATTAGCTCTGGGAGAAGTCATTATCTAGGGCCTCTGTCAGAGATCCGGGTGTGACCAGAAATGTGTGGACTGACACAAGGAAGTAACAGGCTTCAGGAATGATATAACAACAATATAATTTATTATTGGCCACCCAAATATACAAACGCACAGTAAACACACCAACCTTCCACTAATATTAGTATGTGCAGGAACACAGGCGTAGTCAGGGCTGGAGAGGTGGAATGGTCAGGCGGCCGTATGGTTCTGTTAACAACCGACTAGTGGTAACTCTAGCAGTCCTCAGGACAGGATTCCCCAGGGCGTGGAGTCTAAGTCCCAGTCTGCTATTTCACCAGGGCCCTGATGGTGGGGATGGACTTAGAGCAGACAGGAACCAGGTCACGGCCCGAGTACACCTGCTCGTGGTAGAGGGTACCGCCAGAGGTATATGCAGGTAGAGAGCCTGATGTGAAGAGGCAGAAGGTGTGAGCAGGGATGGCTGGATCCGTGCAGGATGGATGGATGAGTAATTAGTGTGGTCAGAGGGGCCGGGTCTGTAACAGTGGGTCAGCGTGGTACTAGGCAGCAGGCAGAAGAGTAGTCGGCTCACTCGCCGGGGTCGGTAACAGGAGTTCAGATCAGATTAGGGATGTCCAGGAGAGTAGTCAAACAAGCCAGGGATCAAGCAGGAGAAGTCAGCAGAGGTCAGGATCAGGCAGGGTTGGCAACAAATCAGATAGTCAGAAGAACAGGAACACAGGATACCAGGTACAGGGGCTCATGGGAAACAATACCAAGGCACTGATCACAGGTCTGGTCCTGCTTAAATACACCTCCTGCAATTAGCCTCAGGTGATGGCCTGATTGCAGGAGTGAGATTCTGGCTGCTGTGAGCACCTGCTGGCCAGCCTTGGTACTGCAGCCCACAAGGCAGGTGCGTCCCACCACCATTGGTGAGTCCATTCCTGACAGCCTCACATACTTTTTCCTCCCTGCACTGTGAATGTTTACATGTTATGTGCAATTAAACCATGGCAACATCTAATGTTTGTGTAGTATTATGTTCAGCAGACTGTGTTCTTCTATTGTTGTGACTTAGATGACGTTCAGAGTACATTTTATGCCCAATTCATGCAAAACTCCACGTAATCCCAAGGGGTTCACTTACTTTTTCTTGCAACTGTAGAGTGCAGCAGTCAGGATGAGCACCATGTTCACATAAGAGTCCCCCCTTGCATCAAAGTCCCCATCTTTACCCCCTTACGTCAGTGTCCAGCTGAGTCCCCCCCCCTTACGTCAGTGTCCAGCGGAGTCCCCCCCCCCTACGTCAGTGTCCAGCGGAGTCCCCCCCCCTTACGTCAGTGTCCAGCGGAGTCCCCCCCCCCCTACGTCAGTGTCCAGCGGAGTCGTCCCCCCCCCTTTACGTCAGTGTCCAGCGGAGTCCCCCCCCCCTTACGTCAGTGTCCAGCGGAGTCCCCCCCCCCCTTACGTCAGTGTCCAGCGGAGTCCCCCCCCCCCTTACGTCAGTGTCCAGCGGAGTCCCCCCCCCCTTACGTCAGTGTCCAGCGGAGTCCCCCCCCCCTTACGTCAGTGTCCAGCGGAGTCCCCCCCCCCCTTACGTCAGTGTCCAGCGGAGTCCCCCCCCCCCTTACGTCAGTGTCCAGCGGAGTCCCCCCCCCCCCCTTACGTCAGTGTCCAGCGGAATGCCCCCCCTTATGTCAGTGTCCAGCGGAGTCCCCCCCCCCCTTACGTCAGTGTCCAGCGGAGTGTCCCCCCTTACATCAGTGTCCAGCGGAGTGCCCCCCCTTTACATCAGAACTCAGTGGAGTGCCCCCCCTTACGTCAGAGCTCAGCGGAGTCCCCGCCTCTTACATCAGAGCTCAGCAGAGTCCCCCCCTTACATCAGAGCTCAGCTGCTAACTGGACATGGAATAGGGAAGTGTGAAGCTGCTGGAAGAACAGGGAGGGGGGAGGTAGATAAGGAGAGAAGGGAAGGAGGTGGGGAAAGCTCCATGGTAGAGCAGAGATCGCTCACACCCCAGGCTGCTCTCTGCAGGCTCAGACATCGCCAATTGTACAACCAGATGGATCTTCAAATTTCCCGCCCACGGGGCAGTCACAGAGCAGAGGGGCGGGAAGAGGCGGAGCAAAACAGAATCTCTCTCCTCCCCCGTCTATGCGGGGAGGGAGGGGGGAAGTGTGCTGTCTGAACAAGTGTCACAGACACTGAGCGTGCCCAGCTGCAGCCCCCCCCCCCCCCCCCGGAGTCTACCAATCACTTTCTTAAGTAAGCCCTGCAGCTGCCTGCAACAGGGATAAATGTAAGAAAACATCCTGCACTGCGCCCGGAACTACATGTCCCGAGAGTCAAGAGATAGGATTTGTAAATCCCTGAGTCAAAACTAAATGTCTTCCCATGGGGGGAGTAGTTCTTCAATGTCCAGCAACCCTCCTATTCCCCCCTCACATCCACATCCTATTATTGTGTGACCAATACCATCCAAATCATTCTTACTTTCATTTCCCAAAGTTATCCGTCTACAAGGAGACCTGTATAGATCACATGATGGCACCAATGAGGATGGAGGAGGACCGGAGTCACATGACTGAGAAGATACTAAACCTCACCCTGGAGATCATCTACCTGCTGACCGGAGAGGTGAGGAGGATTCTGGGAAGTCACATGACATCACTCTAATCTCTATTTAATAAAACACAGACCTGACCGGAGAGGTGAGGAGGATTCTGGGAGGTCACGTGACATCGCTCTTATCTCTATTAATAAAACACAGACCTGACCGGAGAGGTGAGGAGGATTCTGGGAGGTCACATGACATCTCTATTAATAAAACACAGACCTGACCAGAGAGGTGAGGAGGATTCTGGGAGGTCACATGACATCACTCTCAACTCTATTACTAAAAACACAGACCTGACCGGAGAGGTGAGGAGGATTCTGGAGGTCACATGACATCACTCTCATCTCTATTACTAAAACACAGACCTGACCGGAGAGGTGAGGAGGATTCTGGGAAGTCACATGACATCACTCTCATCTCTATTAATAAAACACAGACCTGACCGGAGAGGTGAGGAGGATTCTGGGATTCTAACATGATATTCCTATTGGTTCCTCAATACAGAGATTGAAGTCAGGTGATCATATGACCATCACAGTGCCTCCATGTGACTCCCTAAACCCTGAGAGACACAACATGGAGAAGATTCTAGAAGTCACCAAGAAGATGATGGAGCTGCTGACAGGAGAGGTGAGCGGTGCCGGGAATTCTGGGACATTCTCCAGTAACAGACAAGGGATGTGTCTGGATGGTGACTGTATCATTGTGTGTGTCAGGTTCCTATAAGGTGTCAGGGTGTCACTGTCTATTTCTCCATGGAGGAGTGGGAGTATTTAGAAGGACACAAGGATCTCTACAAGGACGTCATGATGGACAATCAGCCGCCCCTCACATCACCGGGTAAGAGGAGACTTTATTGTAAAGGAGAGAGCAGTACGGAGGATCCACCTAGATCCCCCATCATCTGATAAACACATAGAAACAATGGATTCAGTCAGTGTGTGTGTTTCCTACAGATGGATCCAGTCATGGGAACCCACCAGAGAGATGTCCCCGTCCTCTGTATTCCCGGGATTCCACACAGGAAGGTCACACCATCCCTCACCATCATCAGGTAGATGAGGAACAATCACTGACAGTATCATTAGGATCTGTACATTATCTGCATTGTTACCATTGATGGCATTTTTATTATATATTCAGAGTGGAAACCTGAGAGATCCTAAAGTTGAGGTTAAAGAAGAGATAAAAGAGGAGGAGGATGAGGATGGGGGTGATGGAGGAGTCAGAGCTTCTAAGAAAACACAAAGATCTGTACCAGGACACCATGGTGGAGTCATCCAGCTACAGGAACCCACCAGAGAGATGTCCCCGTCCTCTGTATTCCCGGGATTCCACACAGGAAGGTCACACCATCCTCACCATCATCAGGTAGATGATGACAATTATTGGTAGTTGTGATTTATACACAGCATGTTTGTTACAATGAATGTTTTATTATATCTTTCAGAGTGGAATCCTCGGGGATGATAATATTGATGTTAAAGAAGAGTATAAAGAGGAGGATGAGGAGTATGGAGTGATGGAGGAGTTTTCAGAAGGACACAAGGATATGATGGAGCCACCTAATACCAGGAACCCACCAGAGAGATGTCCCCGTCCTCTGTATTCCCGGGATTCCACACAGGAAGGTCACACCATCCCTCACTATTACAAGGTTGGTGGGATGGAGAATCTAGAACATGGACTCATAGAGACAATATGTGGATGATTTATGTGAGCTTATATCTTACAGATGATATTTTCTCCCATTTCCTTGATTTAGAGTGGAGATCCAATCGATATAGAATTTGAGGTGAAAGCAGAAGAAGAAGAGGCGTATGTGAGGGATGATCAGCAGTCTATGGAGGAGGATGGAATAACGGGGACATTTATAGAGGAGGACACTCCTACAGAGATCAGCACAGGTGGGTCATGAACACTAAATCCATTCCTCCACCCATACTGCTCACTGATTGGTCCAGAGTAGGGCGGGGACTGGGTGATATCAGCCTGTAATCCCCTGGTCACTTTCCTGAGCTGTGTTTCCCCATCCTGCCTGATGTGGGCGGAGTCCTGGTTTGGGGGAACCAATCAGCTCCTGTCTAGTAATCCTCTTTGTCTTTGTATTTTAGTCCATGGCCGGGAGATGAGGAAAACCTCCGAGGATTGTCTCACTTTGTCTCCAGACTGGAAAGTAGAAGATGAGGACATCACACAGTATAGTCCAGGAGAAAACCCGGCTCCCTCCAATTTCCATCCGGCCCCACCCAGTGTAGATGGACCATCGGATTCCTCGTATCCTGAGGAACCTCAGACTGTGCGGGATCAGGCTGGCCTTCCAACAGGGAAGAGCTTCTCCTGTCCTGAGTGCGGGAAATGTTTTTCATGCAAGTCCCATCTTTCCAATACATCAGAGGTTTCACACAGGGGAAAAGCCGTATTCCTGTCCTGAGTGTGGGAAATGTTTTTCAAAGGAGTCCAATCTTTACACACATCAGAGATGTCACACGGGCGAGAAGCCATATCCCTGTGTTGAGTGCGGGAAATCTTTTTCTAATAAGTCATATCTTTACACACATCAAAGATGTCACATGGGGGAGAAGACATTTTCCTGTCCTGACTGTGGGAAATGTTTTCCTCAAAAGTCCAATCTTTACAGACATCAGAGATGTCACACTGGGGAGAAGCCGTATTCCTGTCCTGAGTGCGGGAAATGTTTTTCAGAGAAGTTCACTCTTTACACACATCAGAGATCTCATACGGGGGAGAAGCCGTATTCTTGTCCTGAGTGTGGGAAATGTTTTTCACGGAAGTCCAATCTTTACACACATCAGAGATCTCACACGGGGGAGAAGCCGTATTCCTGTCCTGAGTGCGGGAAATGGTTTTTTACGGAAGTCCGTTGTTTACACACATCAGAGATCTCACACGGGGGAGAAAACGTATTCCTGTCCCGAGTGCCGGAAAAAATGTTTTTTTACGGAAGTCCCAACTTTACACACACCAGAGATCTCACACGGGGGAGAAGCTCTATTCTTGTCCTGAGTGTGGGAAATGTTTTTCACTGAAGTCTGATCTTTACATACATCAGAGATCTCACACGGGGGAAAAGCCGTA